TCTAACAAAAGGCCACTAATAGCCCTCAGATTGCTAAGAAGAAGGAGGGGGTTTGTCCTCAGGATCTTGAAATTTCAGTCAAGCTAGTGTTGACTCATTCATGCATGTTTGAGAAATCCTTGAATCTCCTCTGGTGGCCATGTGGAGCTGCCTAAACACTTGCTGCTGCAAAGCACCGCCCATTTGTACCTAGCTCCCCCCTGGAGCTCAGTCCTCAGCCGAGCTCCCGCCCCACAGAGCACCCCTTCCCCCACACAGATCCACCAAACTAAATCAGCAACAGTTAGCAAACACCTGGTGGATCTGCACATCTGTTGAGCTTGTAACACTAATCAGTTCCCAGTCCAGTCTTTTTTTGGGTCAAAAAAAAAGAACATTCATCAAGGAAATCTTTTTTTTCTTTATTTTTCTTTATTTTTTGTCAAACAGCATGAAGAGTGTAGGAAATGGTAGGAGGTTCTTAAAGAGACATGAGGCCAATTTCAAGGTGTTTTTGATGCAGCTATGATGTGAAGTCAAATTTATTTTTGATACAGCATTTTAATAACAACTGAAGAAAACACTTACTTGATTGTGGTATAGAATTACATTATGTGCCTGGAAAATACACACTACCTCCCCAAATGTATTTTGGAAAAAAAAAAAGACTTAATCTTAGCACAAACACCATCTGTCAGGCACAGTGGTGGAGGTGTGATAGTGTGGGCTTTTAATTACAGTCAGAGCCGGCTCTAGGCATATGCGAACTAGGCGGTCGCCTAGAGCGCCATCTGCTGGAGGGGGCGCTGAACTGCAGAAGAAAAAAATTTAATTATTTGTAATCCCTGGTTGTAACTCTGCTCAGCGCCCCTTTCAGTTAGCTTTGTCTTAAAAAATTATAATGAAGTATTACAGGAAAAATAATTTACTCTACCCATAAAACATTTTGAAAATGAGGTTTTGAAAAAATCCGTAAAACTTGAAAAATCTCAGATTGCCCTACACGTCCGTATACCTGCAAAATGATGTAAAGTCCTTATAACTTACGGACAATTTGTACAAGTGTGTGTGTGTGTGTGTGTGTGTGTGGCTTGTTTCTTCCAGTATTGTGTCTGGATGGAAGGTCAATCCTGATCATTTTTTCACCTGTTTTGATAACTCACTGGAGAGCATTCCTGTCTGCTTATAAACCTATATGTATTGCCACAATAAAATGTAAAAAAAATGCAAAGAGTATTTATTTTATAAATATATTAATTGATTTATTATTTAACTTTTAAGAAAAAAATGCAAATGACTGAATGCACAAAGTCTGAACTGTATTATTTTACTGATTCTAAAGAACCTTTGATATATTTGGGTTAATTGTAAATAACATTTCATTTTTAAGAATCCAATGTTTTTTGCTTGCAAGTAAGAATGCTTTATTTTAACTTATTAGACCTCTTGTTATGATTTCTGTTTTGAAGAATCTGGCAAGTGTGGGTGATGGAGTCACATCAGTTGTGTGGCACAAAGGTTTATGCACACTGACCTCTAGAGCCTCTGAGAAGCTGACTGCCTTGTGGTCTGCTCTAATCATGAGCACTAAAGTTATATAAACCCAATGCTTTGTTTGGTCTGGGTCACAATGCCTGCAGACCCACTGAGTTCTATTGGAGTTCTGTCACAGTATAACGTTTAAGACAACTTATGCAAATGTACACAAATTTTGTTATGGTTATTTTACACATTAGCATTACAATATGTAAAAACAAGTCTTTTTTAGTCCATCTTCAGCTTAGACATCTTTAGTGTTAGACCAATTTTTCATAAGTTGGAACAAGTTGTCTGAAATGTTATAGTAACAGTGCCTTTATGCCCCTTTTCCACTAGCACCTCTACAGCATGGTTCAGGTGGTTTTCTGTTACACTTCAGTAACAGCTCTAGTGGGTGGGTTCATCGTAAAGTTGAGCGGTCACAGAGTCCAAAACTTGACGCCAAACGTCTTACCAGCTGGTGGCAATTATCATCCATTAAGCCGTTTGACAGCCACCATTAAACATAGTAGAAGACCCCGAAAAGATTGCAAATGGCGGATAGGGTTGTTGTGAAAGTAGCTCTTATGATGCAACCAGTGACTCCACCCCCTAACCAATCAGACTGAAAGTCTTCTGATGTTGTGTTTTCAGGCCGGCACGCTACATTTGGAACCACATTGAAGTACATTCTGAAAAAGGGGTCTGGTTCCACGAGTCCTTGCTAGTATAGAGGAAAAACCTTGAGTCGAATGGTTCTGTAGAGGCACTAGTGGAAAAAGGGCATTAGTTGAAGGACAAACTGACCACATTTCTTCCCTCCTTATTTTCTCTACTCTCCATCTTTGTATTTAAATATTTTTATAAACATGTTTTTCTTTTAATTTCCCCCATAAAACAACACTTGAACCAGCCATTCTGTGTTTCTCTTTCCTGTAGGGCTGCCACAAACGATTATTTTTATAATCGATTAATCACCGTTTTTTTTTCGATTAGTCGACTAATCGGATCATACGTTAATTGAATATAAAACATACAGCTTATTGTGCCACGATGCAGCTGCTATTATATAACCATCGTTAGATTTTAGCTATATGCTAACTAAAATAATTGCTGTGGAATGTAAGTTCTGCTCTGCAGATATTACACAGGTTTCTCTTTCATTTTCTTAAAATGATCCCACACTTTTGAGCTCCGTTGTCAGGTAGCCATGATACCAGAGCCTGTCTGTATAATGTCTTGTGACGTCCACRGCCTACCCCAGTTACCACTACTGTGCATGTGTGTCAAGGACAGAAAGGCAGATGTGGCAGTGGAAGGTGTCAAAGCAGTTTGGAGAGAAAAACAAAGTAAAGAATAAAAAAAAAAGAAAACGATTAATCGATTATTAAATTAGTCATCAATTATTTTAATAATCGATTAGTCGTCGATTAATCGTTGCAGCCCTACTTTCCTGTCCTTTTAAACCCAACCGTTGATGGCCGCTTGTCCTGGTTCTGGTGGGGGTTTCATTTTTGTTAAAAGGGAGTTTTTCCTTTCCACTGTCACCATTGTGCTGCTCCAGATGGAAGACTAAGACAAGGTGAAAATTCAATGCAATCTTCTGGCTTCCTTAAAAAACAATTAGCAATTTACATTTTATATTGCAAGCAAATGTTTTCGTACAGTGCCCTGAGGTAACTTGGTTGTGAATTGGCACTATATAAATAAAATGAATTGAACTGACCTGCAATACACTGTCCTAAAGTTGTGTAATGTAGTTCGAAGTTGTGTAATTAGTTTTAGCTGCCAGGACTTGGTTGGACATTCAGTCCAGGACTGAACATAACAGCTCTGTGTCCAGTGTCTAAATGCATATCAAAGATTAAGATCACTGAATAATCATACCTTTTCACTAATCAGTCTTATCTGTTAAATCTACAAAAACTTTGTTAAATCACATTTTGCATTAGTAAAAGTAAAAGTTGTTCATGTGGATCCCTTAATGAGAGAACGTAGCAACACTGATTTAAAACAATACTAATATTATTACATAATCATCTCCCATGTCCACTTCCTGCTCTGAAGCCTCTAATTAAGTTGCTTGTTGAAGTGAAACAGCAGGTCCTCCAAGGGGTCACACATTTGGCAGGACCACTGTGGCCACTGTCGACAGTCTCAGTAAGAGTTTTCTTCCATCTCAGTAGTACCTCACAAAACTAAGATCAAAGTAATAAGGACACACATGTTGTCTGTGACGGTCCGTTATCCTGAGGTTACAAGTCCATGAAAATTGTTCCTACAAATTCTTAAAGAAATGTCAAACTGTAGTCACTTATAAGGGAAAATAATCTCAAAAAGCTCATCAAATTTCCATGTTTGGATATTAATCATATAAAAGTAAAGAATGAAAGTATCATTCCTTGAAGGAACGTATACTGACCACCACACTGCATTCATAAAGATCTCCAACATTCTGGTTAGCACTCAAAGTATGTGTTGGGAATTAATCTGATAAAACCACACCAGATTTCAGCTCAGTGTCTGTAAACTGGACTTAGTTATGACAGTTTTGGTGTTTGCTAACGTTAAAGCCTAAAATATTAATCCTGTGTCAAACTGCGATCCACGTTTAGAGTGTGAATGCAAACACCACCTAAAGATTACCTAGCTCTATGGTTCCTCCAATCCCAACCAGGGACGCTGAACTGTGGTAGAGCGGCAGAGGGATGTAAACCACATCATCTTTATTTGCACCAAAGGCCCAAAAGCCTGCTGCTGCCTTCAGGCTCTGGAGGTGAGTGATCACTGCAGCCTTAGGGAGGCCTAGAAAAAAAAAAAGCAAATTAAGACAATTGTTTCTTTCCTTTACCACACACCATTTTGTTTAAAATTGCATCATACTAGTTATGTCTCGATTCTAGCATTTTTTACAGATACCCGATAGTCAAGACTGATAACAATACTTTGAAATGTGTTACAGTTTACATCTCAAGTGAAAAGTTTTAGTTCCATGTTTAGCAAATTTTTACCACGGTTGCCAGATAAAAAGAAAAAATGTATTTTTCCTCTTCTTTTCTGTGCACATTTTCACCAAACACAACACACATCTTATCTTACACTCTGACTCAGCATTTATGACAATTTGGGTCAAAACGCAATAATCTTAAAGAAACAGTACAACATTTTACCATATCCTGTCTGGCAACCCTGATTTTGAAATGTTGCAAAAATATATGTCAGAGGTGCCCAAAGTGGGGCCCGTGGGCCAAAACTGGCCCGCCAAGCCATTTGATTTGGCCCACCAGCAGTTGTCCCAGTTGTTAAGATTGTAATTATGTTAAGATTAAATATAAACTACAAGTAACTACAAGAGACATTTAGATTAGATTTAAGCCCATATCTAGTTTTGCACACCTTATAACGGGGTTATTCAATGAAGGCCCATGGGCCAGATGTGGCCAAAGTTATTATGACTCCTGCTTACGCTTCGCGTGCGGGGGTCATAATAACACTGACACCCTATGAGTTTTAGTAGTATTAAGACTTAGGTCTGGGATTTATAGAGTTGATCTCCTTTTTGTTTGTCAAAAACAATGATTGTAAATTCTGTGCTTTGGTCGTAGACAGCACAAAGATAAAATAAACAGTGTTCGGTTAATATTTCTCGCAGACATTTTTTATAGTTTTAACACCACTACATCTTTTTTGTGTGAACCTGAGATAAAAACCCATCAAGCAGACTGAACACTCTCTTTTGATAGCTGCAACCTTCTATGCTTGTTCTGTGTAGGGGCCACAAAAATACAGTAGTGCAGTGCGGTTTGGAGGACTTTGTTTACATTTGTAAACATAAAAAAGAATATGTGAAATATGTAAAACTTACGATACAGGCATGGAAAAATAAAATAAAAAAGCACAAATTCACCTGTTGTTCCAGAGGTGAAGATGTAGAGGGTGGGGGTTTTAATACAGCTGGTGGCTCGCAGGACAGCTGGTACAGGCTCATCGGATGCAGAGTCAAGCTTGTCCAGCAGGGTGTGCACCAGTGTGTGCTCACTATGGCTCTTCATGGCCCACACCTGAATGTTGTCCTCCTGAAGGCTGGGGAGGATGCCATCCAGACTATCCACTAAATCTAGAAGACAGAGACACTAAGTGAGTTTCATGAAATACATAGTATAAGGACAGTTAGCCAGCTGATTACACGATCTGCAAAAACATTTGGAGTATGAGCGATATGTGGCATCAGCACAAACAGTGAGATGATCTTTTACAATGTATTTAACTCATGAATCTGAATCAGGACATTTTATGTTGACGTCCCACTTTCAAGAATAAAACCACAACTGAAACCAAAGCAGATGTAAGTCTCCCATCTGAAGACCCTGTCACACTAGACAACTTATGAACATTTTAAAGACATCTACATTGAAGATGGAATTGAAAAAAATCAACAGGAAGCTTATTTTCAGCGTGAACATAATGTAATTCGAACAAATTGATAAAATTAGCAATTTAGACATAAAAATGTTTCATAAGTTGGCCTAAGTTGTCTAGTGTGACAGGACCTTGAGGTCATATAATTCATAATAACGTCACACAGCACTCCTCCAGTCAGAGAATGTAACATATTCTGGTTAGGCAAAAAAATTAGGGATGAACCGATTGCAGTTTTCTGGCCGATCACCGATCTTTCAGAAGTCTGACCTGCCAATTCCGATTTGGTCAGATACCGATATTTTTAATAAATGACACTGTCAGGAGTTATAAAGGTCACAAAACTCCTTCAATGTTCCAATCATATTTATAGACAAACATTGAACAACACCCTTGAAGCAATACAAACTTGTTTTAACTGAAAATTAGGTAGTGCTCACAGCAAAGCAAAGAGAAGTCAGTGAATGATTTTCAGACTTTTGTGGAGGTAGATGAGTTGTTAACTGTTGTTGATGTAATACTAGATTAGATTTACAGTTGGTTACCATTTAATTAAAACATCCAGTGGGTTTGATGAGAATGTCAGCATCAGACTGAACACAGTGTAACATAGTTTAAAATATTATTCCATATATTTTTAACAATGACCTTTTTAAGACTCAGGCTGGAGCCGAAGCTGAAGATGCACTTCTCGTTGGCTTGTAGTCTACACTTTAAAAAAAACCTTTTAACTTGTTTTTCTGAATGAGGTTTTCTTTTAGGAACTTGTCCAAAGATTTCAACATGGTGAATCACTCTAGCCATTATTGTCTTTTCTGCTAAAGTTTGCTTACCTCGGCTATTGCTCTCTCACCTACATAACATATTATACAGTGACTGGATCACAACAAGTTCATATTTCCTTCAAAGTGAAGAACTTCAGGATAATGCAGTATTCTTAGTACTCATTAAAAAGGTCTTTCCCTGCTAGTTTCTGCATCTAAGAAATCCTAATCTCCTGCACCCACACTTGTGTAAGTATCTTTGACTGAATCAGAATGTAGCTGCCTTCTTCAAGATTAGCAAAAATGCTACAGCTATGAATATCATGTCTGCTACACTTGTTTCCAATACTTTCTCACGATCATTGTTGCCTACTAGGAAAGGAGACAGCAAGGTCTGTCCTCCTCCAAATTCTTATGACCACGCTCCATATGATGCTGCCACTTTCAAAATGCTTCACACAGGATCCTGATATGCTGCCATCACAATGATAAACCACAGTGGCAACATGTCATACAGAAAGAGAAGCTCAGCTGAATACCCTGTCCAAGACCCAGCAAAGACTCATCTATGGTCTGGTCTGGTCTGGTCGTTTGGTTGGTTGGTTGCTTTATTACACTGTAGCAGGATTGTCATCCAGGGTGAAAAGACTTAGGTACACTAAGAAATAATAAAACCTAACATCCAAACTGAGCAGAGTGTAAAATGGCACCAACACTTAAGATGCACAAAAAAAATCTGACTGTATGGGAACTGATAAAAGTATCATATCTAGGTCCAAAATGCTTACAATGTTTCACATCCGACCTTTCACACATACTATGTATTTACCATGTTGTCACAATCGCACAACTGCCCGATTCAAAAACCTGACTGGTGGGAAAAAAGACAACACCTATTTTATACAACACGTTGACTTGCTACTTCACAAATTTTAACAAAAGTGGTCCAATCCTGCATTGTACTTGAAAGTGCAAATAAGTTTCCTGGCACTGTATACAAAGGATCCAGATAAAACAAAAAAGTGTCTCTCAGCAATCAACAGAAAAGACTAGATTCCAAAGAAAGAGGACCATGTCTGAGGCGTTCATTTCCTATCAGGTAAATTTGATTCTTTTTGGGCCGATGAAATTCTATGTCTTCTATGCATCTCCAGCTTACGTTATCCTTGATACACTTTGAATTTATATGAAAATAAAGAACATACAAACTGAGTTTCCTCCGCAGGGTGTCTGGGCTTTCCCTTAGAGATAGGGTGAGAAGCTCAGTCATCTGGGAGGTAGGGCTGCACAGTATTAGACAATCTTACAATGGCGATAATATTTGTAAATATTGTGATGATATCAGGTGTGATGTCTTTTTTCTTTTCTCCCTTTCTAATCTGTACTTCCTCTCTTTATGAACTTTAGCATTTTTAGCAAGGTCATTTGTGTCTGCTGAGAGCTTTTGCTGCTGCGAGATTCTGTCCTACTGTCTAAATATTGCGTTAGCATGAAAAATAAAAACTTCTGAAATATATTAGTCAACAATTACTGCATTCCAAACCATCATTTGTGATATGACTATTGCACACACTGATATTGTGATGATGATGATATTGTGATATATTTGCCATACTGTATATTATGCAGCCCTACTGGGAGGGACTCAGTAGAGTCGCTGCTCCTCCACGTCGACAGGAGCCAGTTGAGGTGGCTCGGGCATCTGGTTAGGATGCCTCCTTGACGCCTTCCCTGGTGAGGTGTTCTGAGCACGGGAGGCCCAGAGGAAGACCCAGGACACGCTGGAGGGACTATGTCTCTCAGATGGCCTGGGAACGCCTTGGGATTCCCCTGGACGAGCTGGCCCAAGTGGCTGGGAAGAGGGAAGTCTGGGTCTCTCTGCTTAGGCTGCTGCCTCCACGACCCCATCCCAGACAAGTGGAAGAAAAAAAACGTATGGACGGACGGACAATGGACTTTAAATGTCTAACTTACTAAGACCCCCGCATGCGAAGCATAAGCGGGAGTCATATTGTTTTTGTACAGTTTTTTTTTTTTTTTTTGTGATTTTTGGTCAACCGTAGCGTAAAAATGGGTGCACCGATCAACATGAAATTTGGCAGGACTGTAGTTGAGTCCGACCTAAACTGCACCAGCCAACAGTTTGACAATAGACCCCATATTTGAGGAGGGGACTCCATCCAAAGAGGGGGTGTCTGGACATGCAAAAATGCTTATAACTCAGAAACTGTTAACATAGGAGCTTCAGATTTCTTTTGTTGTTTAGCTCTGATGAAGCTCTATCCATCAGGCCCACAATCAGTGTCCCTACCCCACGGACCCACAATTTATCTGAAAAAGAGGCATCTGGACACACAAAAATGGTTATTGCTAAAACTATTAAACATAGGAGCTTAAGATTTTCGTTGGTTGTTTAGCTCTGATGAGGGGCTATCCATCAGGTCAACCAACGGAACAGCAAGTTAGCCTGTTGAATTTAGCATAATTTACCTATAAGCTGCATTTAGTGACTTGTAGGCCTTCAGTGACTCTCTGGGGAAAAAACCCAGAGATCCAAACCAGATACTACCAAAAAAATCAATCAATGTTTAGTGTTAGATCATCCTTCCATCCATTTCTCAGCACATATGGATCTGGTAGCTTTACCACATACTGCAACTTTACCTCAGTGCTAAGCTTTTTAGCATAATGTGATCCAATCTAAATAAGCTGATAATTCGTAAATTCTTGTATTTATGTGTTTTCTATTATTGACTGGTTGCATTTTTTCCCCTACTAGCATATTGCACATGCACAAAACTGAGCACTTCTGTATACAAACAGCATTGTCTCTATTGGGGGGTGATGGTACTCTCTATGCTGAGGATCAAACCCCACAAACTTCTGAGTGAGGGACTGGCATGCTGTAAGTCTCAAACACTTTTCAAAGATATTATTCGCTGCTTCTTTGGCTACAAATGTTAGAACCAATAACTTATTTTAAAAGATTTTGTTGTGGTTTTATGAAGTTTAAATTGTAATTACACTAACTGCATCACAACAGCATTGTATATTTTGTGTTTGTGTGTATTTTACACACAAACACAACCTTATCACTGTGATTTAAATATCCAGTGTCTTGTGTCTTCTTTACAATTACATTCATGTTAAGTAATATTCCCATCTTATGACCTGGTATTTAAACTAAGACATGAATCCCTCTCCTGTTGCAGCAGGGTTGTACTGACCAACATCATGCTTGTTTGGTTGAGCAATGATCAGGGTCCTGTCACATGGCTGCAGCATGGTGAGTCCAATTATCTGCACCAGCCGGATTTGTTCAGGAAAACATGCATATTTAGAGACAAATGTGGCCAATTTCACATACAATCAGGCCTATTTGTGGCAAAAAAAAAAGTAACTGCTTTATACAGTCTTACAAGTAGAATTTTTTTTAACATATTAGGGAAAATGTTTTGTTATAATTAGAATGGGCACAGGAGACATATGTATAGGCATTGCATTTTAAAAAGTGAAGCCCTGAAGTGTCCAGTTGACACAGTATGGCAATTTCATCCCAAAGTGGTTCTGTCTGCAACCATGGAAAAGTAAATATTTCAACTGAAAAAAACAAAAACACAAAACAAGATGCGAGTCAAATCAGAAATAAAATTTAAAAAAATACAACAAACTATGGAAACACTAAGGATGAAATGGAAAAACTGATTAACGGAACATCATTAGCTAAAGTGTTTCTCAAATCCAGTTTATTATCAGTGTCCTAAAGTAAATTGTTTAAATGTTTAAAAATGAGATGTTGGTGTGAAACATTAAATTGTTATGAATCCATCTCTCACTTTCTAGCACAAGGCTAAAAGGAATCTACAGGATCACATGAAACTAACATATGACCAAACAATCGGCTTAACAGCGATTATTTTCAGTAAAAAATAAT